ATGGGCCGACAATGTGAGAACACGGTCAGTAGGGCTAACCATACCTTGTCCTGCATCCACAGATGCATCATGAGCAGGGCCAAGGAGGTGATCCTCCCCCTCTATTTGACACTGGTCAGGCTGCAGCTGGAGTAGTGCATCCAGTTCTGGGCGCTGCACTTCAGGAGGGATGTGGACAGTATTGAGAGGGTCCAGAGGAGGGCCACTCGCATGATCCAGGGACAGCAGGGCAGACCCTATGAGGAGAGGCTACTGGACCTGAACCTGTTCAGCCTCCACAAGAGAAGGCTGAGGGGGGACCTGGTGGCCATCTATAAACTTACTAGGGGGGACCAGCAGGGTTTGAGAGAGACCTTGTTCCCTCAAGCGCCTCCCAGAGTAACAAGGAATAATGGCCATAAGTTGTTAGAGAGTAGGTTTAGACTAGACATTAGAAGGCACTACTTCACAGTTAGGGTGGCTAGGATCTGGAACCAACTTCCAAGGGAAGTGGTGCTGGCTCCTACTCTGGGGGTCTTTAAGAAGAGGCTCGATGTTTACCTGGCTGGGGTAATTTGAGCCTAGTTTTCTCTCCTGCCCACGGCAGGGGGTCGGACTAGAAGATCTACAAGGTCCCTTCCAACCCTACATCTATGAATCTATGTAACCTAAGGCTCTTGGTAGACCTTACACTGTTTTTGGTTTCCCAGGTAACAGCTGTGACCAATAGATCTTTCTAAATCATTCTGAAACCACACAAGAAATGGAAATTTTGAAATAAAAATTAACAAGTTGTGCCCAGCAATAATTGCATTAAAATATTTTTTTCATACAATACGAAAAAGGAATGCATTACATGACTGTTTTAGAACTGTTTGTGTAAGTACATGAATTATTGATTCTCAGTCTTTTGCATAGTTGTATCATCACAATAGGCACAAAAAGACAGACATTTTAGAGCAATTTAGTGAATTCTGACTTTGCCATTTGCTATGGGGAGAGTGAAATCTGTAAAATATAACTTCTAAAAAGGGCCACATGATTGCACAACAGCAGGTTCTACAGAATGTTCTTATACTCAAATAACATTTCTAAAAATTAACTCTTTATTATTTATTTCCACATAAGATGTCAAATAAGATCTCAGCAATGAGATTGTACAATAATATGCAGGATGTGGTTATACTTGTAATACTGTATTATTCATTTGTTCTTGGCAAAGTCTTGAGAACAAGTCTTGACCAAATGTTCTAAAAGAAAACAAATCTGGTGTTTATCTTTATCTCATAGATCAAGCTTTCCATTTCTGCTATGAACCAGATTCGGTTTCACCATTCTTTATCCATGACAGGCCAAGTATGTTTTATCTTCTGTAAAAATCAGTGCCTTCAGCAATATCTTTTTAGAATCCTATGGTCTGTGCAGCAATGGTAAACTTTATGGTGTAGTACTGTTATCTAAAGCAGATGATTTCCCCATAATGTTATCGGCTGGCTCTTTAATTTGATTTTGCCAAAAGGTTTGGTAAAATGAGGAAATGACTGGCTTTATATATAAAATTAAATAGGGGAAGCTACATTGAAAGAACATTAGTAAAGGCATCCAGGAGGGCCTGAGGGCAAAAAAGGTGGCATATAGTCAGTGGAAGCAAGGGGCAATCATCAAGGAGGATTATACCTCCATTGCTCGTGATTGCAGGGAGGCAGTTAGGAAGGCCAAGGCAGAGATGGAACTAGGGCTGGTGACCAGAATTAAGGATAACAAAAATTCCTTTTTCAAATACATAGGGAGTAAGAAGGTGGCACCAGTGAACGTGGGGCCCCTACTGGACAGGCTTGGCAAACTAGCGATTGCAGAAAAGGAAAAAGCTGAGCTCTTTAATGAGTTATTTGCCTCCGTTTTCCTTAGCAGAGACTGGGACAACTCCCTCACTAGGATTACGGACAGGTTCAGGGGACAAGACGCTATGCCTAGGGTCAGGAACAATTTAATTAAGGAACTTTTGGAGGGGCTGGACATATATAAATCAGCAGGTCCAGATGCTCTTCATCTGAGGGTACTGAGGGAATTGGTGGAGGTCATAGCAGGGCCCCTGGCATAGCTGTATGAGCGCTTGTGGTGCTCTGGCCAGGTCCCAGAGGACTGGAAAAGGGTCAATGTGGTCCCCATTTACAAGGAGGGGATAAAGGAGGACCAGGGTAACTATAGGCCAGTTAGTCTCAGCTCGGTCCTTGGGAAGACCTTTGAGAAAATTATCAAGGAGCACATCTGCGGGGGCCCAGCATGGGAAGTAATGCTCAGGGGCAACCAACACGGGTTCATTGTGGGCAGATCCTGCCTGACTAACCTTGTTTCCTTTTACAACCAGGTCACAAAGTCCTTGGATGCGGGCGTTGAGGTAGATGTTGTCTACTTGGACTTCAAGAAGACCTTTGACACTGTTTCTTACCCCATTTCCATACAAAAACTAGGCGACTGCAGCATTGATGCTTACACGTCCGATGGGTGGCAAATCGACTCGCTGGTCACACCCAAAGAGTGGTGGTGGATGGGTCATTTTCGACCTGGAGGGATGTGGGCAGCGGAGTTCCCCAGGGCTCGGTCCTTGAGTCTGTGCTATTCAACATCTTTATCAGCGACTTGGAGGTGGGCATGGAAAGCACGCTGTCCAAATTTGCTGGTGACACAAAGATGTGAGGAGAAGTGGGCACACTGGAGGGGAAGGACAGAATCCAGCTAGATCTAGACAGGTTACAGAGGTGGGCGGATGAGAATAGGATGGAATTCAACACGGACAAGTGCAAGGTGCTGCATCTAGGGAGAAGGAACCAGCAACACACCTGTAGGCTGGGGGACACCCTTCTCAACAACACAATGGCTGAAAGGGATCTTGTCATTGTTGACCCCGGGATGGACATGAGCTGCTGATGCAAGGAAGTGGTCAGTAAGGCTAACCGCACATTATCGTGCATCTACAGATGCATCACAAACAGGTCCAGGGAGGTGATCCTTCCCCTCTATGCAACTCTGGTCAGGTCGCAGTTGGAGTACTGTGTCCAGTTCTGGGCACTGCACTTCAATATTCATTAACATATCTTCAGGTGATTCCAGTCAGGAACAGGGGGTATTTCCCTGGTTTACAAACATGAAAGTTAAGAGCAGATTGATGAGGGCCAAAAGTGTCAGCTGACTTGTGGATGTCTAGTGCCTGATTTTTCAGAAGATTTGTCATTTTATAGCCTTTTGTTTATTCAGAACATTTTAACCTTCTTTTCATCTTTCAGGTTCAGCCCTTTTGCAACTCAGACACCAGAGGTCTCATCTGGGTCTGTGGAATGTGACAAACACAGCTACTGCAGGAAGGGGAGTATGAGCATCCCTGAGCATCCTATTTGCTGTAACTCATCACTTTGTAAACAATTTATTTTAGAAGTGCAGAAAAATGCTATTCATGACAGTGATGAATGATATTCAGAGACATTTCACTAATGATGCCAGCTATAAGCAGAACCAGACTGTGAGAAAACTGGGGATGGCCATCCTTTCAGCAGAGTGGGGAATAACTCAGTCACTGCGTGAAAGGCAGGAGTGGTATTCAAGTCAGGAAGGAAACAGTGCTGGCAGTGTGGAGAGGCCCAGTTACTGTCTTAATGAACTTGGTCCATAGCCTCTATGTAATTTGCAATAATTATATAAAAAATAATGTCCAGCATGGAAACTAAGTGAATCTAGGAGTAGACAGTGTCTCATGGTTCATGTAAGCCATCAGGCAGGCCAGATGGACAGTGCCTGGTTCAACCTCAGGCCACATGGTAATTCTGATCCAGTACCCAGGGCTGGTGTGGTGGTCACCATCTAGCCACAGAGGGCACAGTTGGGGAAGGGAGATTTAGCCAGCCCTGCAGGTGGAAGGGGGGGTGGGATGTGACCTGGCCCCAAACTGGCTTCCTGGGGGTAAGGGGGCATGGCTCAGCCTCGCTGGTGAAAGTGGGCATGGCCTAGCCCAGCCTTTCAGGGAAAGGAGGTGTGGCCCAGGCTTGAAGAGGTGGGGCATGGCCTGGATCTAACCCAATCCCACAGTGGGAAGGGAGATTGGCTTGGATCTGACCGGGCGCTTGGGCTTGGAAATTTGGTAGGGGTTGAGGGTGGCTGTATTAATGGCTACCTCTTCCCTGATACCAATTTTCCTGACCAGTGGGGAGCCCTGCAAGTCAGGTACGATGGCTCTGTGGGCCACATTTGGCCTGCAGGCCAGAGGTTGAGCACCTCTACTGTAACCTGTTTTGCTGCTTGTTGCCTCTTACCCAAGGACTGAATAATTTCATTGGTGAGTGAAATGATCCCTATGTATTTAACCAGTGCTGTCTGTTTTGAGAACACAGCTGGGAGGATGCTGCCATTATACAAACATAGGGGTATTTGGCACAAGTGGTACAAAACATATTTTACAGCAGTGTTGAAAAGGACCTCAAGCTATTCACATAGCTTTTATAAAAGACAATATGGTGGTGATTAGAGTGAAACAAGAGATGGAGCTTTGAGTAGGAGAAGGGATCTGTGGAATGAAGTGCTGCTCTCCTAAGCCAGGGGGAATAGGACCCAGCTCCATTTTGTCCCCCTTACTTGGGGCTGATTGAGTATCAAAGGGAAAGACCACATGCAAGAAAAGAAAGAAAATGCAGGCCTTGTGACAAGTTAAGGTCATCACTTAACCTCTATAGTGGTGCTAGGACATTAGAAATGTGTTGTTAAGTTGCCAGAGCTAGGTCCTGGGGCAGAGGGATCAGTGCCTGTAGGTACTTAAGGTTATTGTCCCTGACTGTTCTTATAGAAATACTGAGAAAAGATCTCACTGCTAGACTAAATGCACTCTCCAGTGCTTCAGGGAGCTTCCGAAATATCAGAGCTGTGGGCAAGCTGCCAGAAACCCCCAGCATGCTTGCTATGAGTCTCCATGCTCCTAGTACCAAATTTAATGTCTTCAGATCACATGGTATCTTTTTATAGATCACATGAATGTACTTGTGCCCAGAGCCACTGAGCTGCTGACATGAAGGTCACTTTCTGACTGTCCCCTTCCCTCAGCTTGTATCTCACGGGGGACAGCAGAAACTCCTAAGGACACCAATCTCAGGTTAGTCTCATTGTATTTGTCTTCTTCTTTTAGTGTGTCCCACTTGCCTTTACAGGTTTGGCTGGCATAACAGTCCCCTCTTTTATGGAGGGAGGGGGGTTTACTCCTGCTGTTGCTGCAGGACAGGGCTGTGGTGACAGGGTGAGTGAGATTAAATATCTCATACAAATATGCAGCACAACCCTGTGTCTCAAGAGGCATGGGGCAGTTAAACACCTCTCTGTTCCCGAAATAAAGAAATCTCCTTCCCACTGAGTGAGATGTGGCAGGGCTGAAATTAGGGGTCATAGTAACATCTACTAGGGAAGGAATATAATAGATCAATGTCTGGTCCAAATTATGCTGGTATAAATTAAGATTACTATAAATTCATCTCACTAAGGTGAACAGAAGTACACCAATGCAAACGTAATGTGAATGAAATCATGATCAAGCTTTATGAAAGGCTTATGAATCCTCAATGGGCCTTCAGGCTGCAAGACATCAGTTGTGGGAGGCCTGGGAGGTTCCATACAAGGATGTTAATACCTGGGAACTGCAGATGTCAGCACCATGTTGGAAACATATATATTGACTTTTACTCCACCACAGCAAGCAGTGTGGTATTAAACAGTTGCATTTGGAGGAGGCTTGCTTAGACTTTTTTTTTTTAAATGGCCTCTATTTCATTCAGTGTGAATCAGTTTGCTTGTGATCGTGCTTTTGTATCAGAGTAAATTACAAATCTGTATCTGGCTTTACTTGCTAGTAGGGCTGTGTGAAGCTTCGGTTGCTGATTCAATCTGGTGGAGACTCGGCCCGATTTGGCAGCTGAATCTCCAAATCCAAATTGAATCAGGAGACCCTTTAATCTCTCTGAATTGAATCAGAACCCCCCAAATTGATTCGGAGAGATTCAGGAATTTGGCAATTCAGACATAGACACAGTTTTAAATGTTTTTTCTACATACCTCAAAGGTACCAGGTTGCTCTTGAATGCTGTGATGCTGGGGCGGATGCAGCATCCCACAGGAGCACAGGAGGGGTCTCCAGCACACTTGGCAGCAGACCTGGAAGTGGACCAGAAGCAGTTTTGGTCCACTTCCAAGTCTGCCAGGGAGCACACAGGGGCCCTCCCGCATCCTCCTGGCTTGGCAACTGGTGCCTTCTGGGTCTGCAGGGGAACCCGGGGTCCCCCTGTGGCCTATCGCCGAGCCTGGGGGTATGGTGGAGGCCCCCAGCATGCTCCTGGTGGACCTGGAAGTGGACCAGAAGTACTTTTGGTTCACTTTTGGGTTCATTGCTGAGCATGTGCCCACCCCCTGCTCCTATGGGATGCTCCATCCACCCCAGCATCACAACGTTCGCAAGCTGCACCTGGTACTTCAAGGTACATAGAAAAAACATTTAAAGCTGTGTCTATGTCTGAATTGCTGATTCTCCAAATCAGCATCAAATCTTCAGATTCGGATTCAGCCAAATCAAATCAGGGACAGTGATCCGAGTCAACAAATCGAATCACTGTCCCTGATTCAGGCTGAATCCAAATCTGAATCAAATAGGGCCCATTTCACACACCCCTACTTGCTAGTATCTTTCACTTTTGTCATGCAGAGATGATTTGGGATACTTGAGTACCAGATACATTATAGGTCAAATGTTTGGGGATTTTCAGATAATAGTAGGTCAGTGTTTCATGTTCTATAGGGGAAAAATATGAAGAAGCCTGACAGCATCCAAATCTTGTACCCTGATTCTTGTTACTTCCCTTATCCATAAGTAGGTGGCCTTCTATGACCAGGTCACAAAATCCTTAGATGCAGGGGTAGCAGTGGACGTAGTCTTTCTGGACTTCAGGAAGGCCTTCGACACTGTCTCTCACCCCATTCTCATTAAAAAACTAGGGGACTGTGGCATCGACACCTTTACAATCAAATGGGTCGCTAACTGGCTGGAGGGCCACACCCAGAGAGTGGTGGTGGACGGGTCATTTTTGACCTGAAGGGATGTGGGCAGTGGGGTCCCCCAGGGCTCGGTCCTTGGACCCGTGCTGTTCAACATCTTCATCAGCGACTTGGATGAGGGGGTAAAAAGCACCCTATTCAAATTTGCTGATGACACGAAGATATGGGGGATGTGGGCACACTAGAAGGGAGGAATAGGCTGCAATTGGACCTAGACAGGTTACAGGGGTGGGCGGATGAGAACAGGATGGTTTTCAACACTGATAAGTGCAAGGTACTGCACCTGGGGGGGAAGAACCAGCAGCACACCTACAGGCTGGGGAACTCCCTTCTCGTCAGTGCAGAGGCAGAAAAGGATCTTGGAAATATTATTGATGCCAAAATGAACATGGGCTGACAGTGTGGGGGGGAAGGCCAACCGTACCTTGTCATGCATCCACAGATGCATCTCGAGCAGGTCCAAGGAAGTGATCCTCCCCCTCTGTGTGACACTGGTCAGGCCGCAGTTGGAGTACTGCGTCCAGTTCTGGTTGCTGCATTTCAGGAGAGATGTGGACAGCATGGAGAGGGTTCAGAGGAGGGCCACCTGCATGATCAGGGGGCAGCAGGGCAGGCCCTACGAGGAGAGACTACAGGACCTGAACCTGTTCAGCCTCCACAAGAGAAGGCTGAGGGGGGATCTAGTGGCCGTTTACAAACTAGTCAGGGGGGACCAGCAGGCATTGGGAGAATCCCTGCTCCCCCGAGCGCTACCAGGAGTGACTAGAAATAACAGTCACAAGCTGGCAGAGGGTAGATTCAGACTAGACATCAGGAAATGCTATTTCACTGTCAGGGCGGCTAGGATCTAAAGCCAACTTCCAAGGGAAGTGGTGCTCGCTCCTACCCTGGTGGTCTTTAAGAGGAGGCTGGATAAACACCTTGCTGGGGTTGTTTGACCCCAGTACTTTTTCCTGCCATGGCAGGGGGTCGGACTTGATGATCTGCTCAGGTCCCTTCTGATCCTACCAACTATGAAACTATGAATTGCCTAGAAAAGGAGTAGCAGCCATTTGTTCTGTTTCACTGAGGAAATTTTGTTTCCATGACAGTAAGTATGAAGTAGAGTTGGATGGATTTAGTTATGTATGCAACGTGTTTTTTGTTTAATGTGCATGTATGTATAATTTAACAAAAATAATTTTGAAACCATATATTCAGATTATGAACTAGAGTCAGTCTATGAAACCTTTGTAGCTCTTCACAGAGTTAAAATGTCTTTGCAAAATACATTTGCCTAATAATTTTTTGTAATGTTTTATATTGCATGAACATGGAAAAAATATTGTATCCATCATAAGGAGTCATTCAAAGATCATAACACTGCATTTTCAGGTTTTATCCTAGTTTAGTTAACCTTAAAATATCTTTAAAATTTTAACAAATTAAGTTATTCCAAATAATTATATACAATATGAATATGGTGAGTGGCAGTAATAACTGTAAAATGGCTTTAATTAATATGTTTTTTATTACTGGAAGGTGCTATCTGGTGACCTAATATCCTCTACAATTTAATTCAATTTTCATCTGATTAAATTTTGGTAACAGTTGCCAAACCAGAAGTGTGTAATGGTAATAACTCAGGGATGGGCAATTATTTGGGCTGTAGGGCCACTTTTAAATGTGGGCTGGTTCAGCACCTCCCTCCCCCTCCAGCTCACCATAACTCATTAGGTGGCTCTGCTCCCCACTCATGAGTTGAGCAACTGGGATGGGGCCGTGGGCAGATGGGGAGTGGCATCTGGGAGCGGGATGGGCAGGTGGGCCTGGAGCCGGGATAGTGGGGTTGTGACAGCTGTATTTTGCCCACCTCTGTAATAACTCCATAGCTCTGACCTATAATGCTTTATAAGCATTAAAGAACAGTACTGAAAGACATGGGAGGGTGAATTTCCCTTCACTCTTCTTAAATGAAAAAGGGATTTGATGGAAATGTTGCTGTAAAGCTGTTGTTCAGTAAGAAGAGAAGGGATCAAAATTCTTAACAGGCTACTTCTGTGTTTTGGTTTTATTAACTAAATTCTTTTCTGGTTAATACCGATTTCTTTGGAGCTGATGTAATAAAACCAAACCTCTTTTCATTTACTCACTTGCTGACTAGAATAGTGGTTCTCAAACATTTTAGACTCAAGGCACCCTTTGTTAGACTCATGGTGCCCCTAGGGAAATGCCGACCCTTACCTTTTACTCATTTTACTGATTACAGAAAAATACTAGAGCAGTTCTTGTGCTGACAGAATTCAGAGTGTTTTTAACATTATGGAGTCCTTTTTGAAAACTCTGGGTTTACATTGTGAATCATATGTAGGCATTTGCGTACCTAACAGCACTAATACTGAGCAGTACCCTGCATCAACCTTAAAAGAATCTCAGGGCATCTTAGATGAGAATCACTGATCTATAATAGCTGCCCAGAAGAGGAAATGGTTTAAAGGTGATGGTGATAGAACAGGATTCTTCCCTTTTCATTGCTAGCAAATTCAGTGTTGGTATGCTTTGTTGCAGGTTGGGTAATATTTGTTTTATTTTTTTGCCTTAGTTCCTGGAGTCATGGAAATACTATATCTGTATTTAAAAGTAAAAAGAAACCCATCCTCCTCCACAAAAACCTTGTCAGTTTCTAGCTCTCTTCTTGCAGATAAAAGCTTGAAAATGTGAACCTTAAAGGTCCCCAAACTGAAAGATAAACAAAAAGAACATGGCGTGTAATTTAAGATAATATCATGTATTTTTCTGAAGTGCCAGTCTCTTGATTCTGGGAGAGAACGGGATACCAATTGCTTGGAGTTTGCCACTGAGGCATCCTGCATTATCAACACACACAAATAGCCTATCTCAGTTTTCTTTATTTACCCTGAGACCTGGGGCCAAGTTCAAGGGTGAGAGTAGGGTGGAACAGTTGGGTTACTCACTGGGTCGTGTATGTCAGACTATCAACTAATTTGCAGGAGTATGCCACCAACTGCATTCCCTCATTTTGACCCCCTTACTATACTTTTCCCCTCTCTGGGCATGTCTACATGTGCATTAACACATTTTAGCTAGTGTGCATTAAATCTAGTACCTCTGGGTACCTGTACATGAGTGTGGAAGCTGCCCTGATGCACTGTAATTACAACACATTGGGGCAGACTCAATTAATCAAGTCTGCTGGAGTATGGTAATTAACATGCCCCAGCAGCCTCCTGCCTTTTGTGTATCAGCATCCCCATACTTCAAAACAGCAGTGGGGCACTTGAACTAAAGCTCTTTGAACAAGCTTTAGTTCAAGTGCCCCCACCACCATTTTAAAGCATGGGGACGCTGACACACGAGATGCTGTGGTGCTTTAATTAGAGTGGCTCTCTGAACTGCTCTAATTAAGGCACCACACCCAGAGCACATGTAAAAGTGCCCTCCATTGTGAGGTACAAGGAAAATGCGTGTTAGCCTTTTTTAATGTGCATTAACTAAAAAGCATGGGTTTTAGTGACACACTAGTGCACATTAGTCTATTTTAATGTGCATTAGCAAAAGTGCATGGGTTTTTAGTGACGCTTTAATGCACATTAAAGCACACGTATAGATGTGCCCATATCTGCCCAATATGGAACTCTAATACCCAGAAGTGTCACATTTGTAGTAACTGCATATCTGGCTCTTATCTTCTGAGAGCTGATAAATAAAGTAAAACCAAGAAAAGATACTTACTTTTAAATCAGTTAAAACAGTCTCATTAAAATATTGGTGAAGTACAATGAATATGTGTCTTTAGTATATGACCCATACTGTGTGCAACCATGATATCAGTAGACTGGAGTTTGGAGGTGAATGATTTTAAAGAGAAAGCAGTGCTCTGTGGACTGCTAGCTGCTATCCGCAAGACTTTTTTTACATGTGGAGATTTGTGGTGTGGCCATGGAATTCATTGTTTCACTTCCCCTTGTTGGTGTCAGAAATTAAATCAGTGAAAGGTCTTAAACTAAAACTTTTCTGTCATGAAAAGGTTTTTCTTTTGCATAGAACAGTCTGGTTGTATAAAATAATCAGTAGTCTGAGCAAGGAAAGCACTGTTAGGCATTATCCTGGACTGAAGAATTAGAAGTCAAAACAAAATATTTCTGTAACCTTTGCTCAATTTGTTTATAATTGTGACTAGCTGAAGTCAGGCTGAGTCTGTGACTTGGCAGAATGCCTGGGTAAGTCATCATCTTTCAATTCCACAGACATCACCTGATGGAAAGGCCTTGTGCTTTAAGTCATTCTACAGTGTAATATTAGAGGGATATGGCTGGGTTTTCTCTTTGCTGTGACCTCTTGAACATAAAAATATACAGATGTGAGTTGGATTAATCAAGCAACTTGGTTTTAATAAGATTTTTTTATACCTACAGGGCAACTAGACCAACATCAAGGGCACAGAGGAGTGTTTTTTCCCTCCATTTGTGGAGATGGCTGGCCTAGTACGGTGTATTACCAGTTGCTCAGTGCCCTTGCTTCACAGTATAAATGTTAGGACATTACAGCCAGCAACTGGACAACGTTCTTTTAGAACTTTCCAAATCTTATGGAGTCAACAGGCAGCAAAAGGTACAATATGCATGTAATATTCATGCAAATAGTACTGTCATATAGTCGTGTTTTAAATTAATCATATTGTAGTGGAAGTTTGTTTTCTGATACAGATGTTACATAGGGGTCAATGTCAGGTATAACAGAAAAATCTAATTGAGGATTAAACTTTTAAAACAAACTTCTGCATTTCCCACATGGTCAGTGAAAATGTTTATGTTCATCATGGCTTTGTTATATCAATGACTTGTTTCAGTAAAAATATATGATGTTTCATTTAATCTTGAAGTAGGCCTTAATTTATAAAGAGCTTGTTATACTTACTGAAGAAAGACACTGGGTACAGCTCTGAATTCAGCCTTGTTGCTCCGCTGGAATTAATCCAGATTTAAACTAATAAGACTGGGTGCAGAATTTGCTCTACTATGAGACAAGATGAGGTTTAAGAGCTCACTGAGTTTCTGAACATTTAAGAAATTTAGTTTAAAAATTAATCTGCTTACTATTGGTGATGAAGTGAACACTTAATAGAATAATAATTGTTAACCGTTTAATTTACCACCATTCAAATCTCAGCAAAGATTTTCTAAGTTATCTCTAGCCAGTTGCCAGATACTGTAATTGTTACCCACATCAAGGAGGTAGGAGGTAATGTTCTTATTACACAGGATCTGGGCTTCACAGTGAAACAGACTCATAGGGGACCATAAGCCTAACCCTTCACTGAGTGAAAAAATGCACTGATATTAATATTCCAGGATCAGTGCCTGATTTATTAAGGAAAACATTTTATAAATACTTGCATCAGGTAGTTATTTGTAGATATGTGCTAATGTATATGTGTATGCAGCTACATTGGTTTCCATGTTTGCATTTGTGTCCCCTGCACTTGTTTTTTTGGGTTGGGTTTTTTTTTGTATTTATGATTTTCATAGGCACTTTCTCAAAACAATCAAACAAACAAACAAAAACTTTTGTGGGTCTGGAGTAAGGGGAGGCTTTATTCTGTGACAGAATTCCAGTTCCTGGATGGTGGAGATTGTGTGATGATGCTAGTTCTTCAGGCCCAGACTTGGGGAAAGCCTTTAAAGTATGGCTGTCTAACTGCAGACTGCAACTGTCCCATGAAGGATTAAAATGCGGTCCCCAGGCTTCTGTCCAGCTGCTGCTCCACACATTGCTTCTACTGTTGCAGCAGCCAGGGTCCCCAGGCTTTCCCTCTGTACTCTGGCTTCTGCTTCCTGCCCCCATTCCTGTGGGTGGGGCAAAGGTAGGCAGTGAGAGGGGTCACTGCACATGGTGGAGGGAGATCCAGGCTGCTTGCATGGTAAGAGAGGGGCTGGTTTGCTCATGCACAGCCATGGGGGAGGTTGAACTGCTCACATTGCTGGTTTTGTGAGGGGTGGAACAGGCCAGGCTGCCCATGCAGCATGGATGGAAATCGGGGGAGGGAGGGAGGGAAGGGTGTCTGGAATCCATGTGGCCCACGTGGTATGTGGACCTCCTGCCTCCAGAAGTTGGACAATCATTCTTTAAAGAAAATGTACACAAAAATACTGAGAGATATTGGTTAATTTGCATTTATTAGATTTCTTCAGGAACCAACTTGTGGATCCTACTGATATAACTATAGAATTGGGGCATGTGTAGATGAAACTGGGGCCCTAAATTGAAGTGGTGGGTTTTTCAAAACACCACTTCAATGTAGGGCCTTTTAAACCCCCGGGTTGTGCACACATCCAAACTTATCTGCCTCTCCGGTGGCAGGAAAGGGAGGGCAAGCTGCTGGTGGGCGGAGCAGTCCCTGGGCTGCAGGGGGGTGCTGGTGCTTCCCTCCATGGGAGCAGTGGCCTCCACCCCAGGCAGCACGTGGCTCGGGTGGTCCCGGGAGGCACCACAGTCACAGAGGGAAACACTGGGCTCCCATGCAGCTCAGGCAGGTTCCAGGGGAAAAAAGAAAAATTAGGCTCGCTACTTTTCTCTTTTTTTCTTGGGCAGAGCATGCTTTCCCAGGCTGCTGCCAGGCTACCTGCAGAGCCCCTGAGCTGCACAGACCCCAATGTTTCTCTTCGAGGCTGTAGAGCAGCAAATAAAACTCCTCGCAGGAGTTTTAGTTTGCTGCTCCCCAAGTCATTTAAGGTGCATTATGCTGCCAAATTTGCTACAGCAGCTAGAATTACTGCGCAATATGCCGCTGACATGTGCAAACACCAACACCTTTAAAGCGATGCAAAAACATTTAACCCACTTTAAAGTGTTGTGCACACATGCCCCTCATTTCATCTACACACGGCCTTGATCTCTAACATTTTTCTCATAAAAAACTTGATAAAAAAAACCTGGCTCCCTTTGGGCACTCTCCCATTTACTTTCCTGCCATGCTTTCATGTTATTAACTTCTTAGGAAAGGAAGGCTGCCAAGGTTTCCCAAGCCTGCTCTTATCCTTATGACCACAGGTGCCTGTGGTCTTTGCCTTAACAGCCGATTATGTGAGCTACATCCTCCCCAATTCCCACTCCCAAGCCTCGCAGGTGATATACTGACACATCCCCTTCCTGGGCTCTGAGCTTCTGGCCCCAGTCCTCACCTCTCCCAAGCTATGGGCTCCTTGGCCCTCCCAGTCTCTGGCTGTGGCCCCACACCTAGGCCAGGTGAGACCTTCACGCTCCCAGACCCTGCTGATATTCCCCCCTTCTGGGCCCTAGCCTCTCAGGCCCTCCTCACACTTGCCCTTCTCTGGGCATATGGGCTCAGCTCCCAGTCCCAGTCCTTGTCCCTCCTAGGCTACAGGATCCCTGGCCCCCTTGGTCTCCATCTGTGATCCTCAGTCCTTGGCCCCTGTCTGGGCCCAGGCTCTGCTCCTAGGGCAGTTGAGATCGCCAGGCTCCCTGACTCTGGCAGTCTCCAGCAGTGGTCCCTGACCTTCGGTCTATCTCTGGGCCCTGATGCCACTTCTGGGCCAATGAGACTTTTGGGCTTCCAGGCCCTGCTGACAATCTGCCCCACCTGGGCTACTGATCTCAGGGGTCCTTGGCCCTGCTGACATCTGCCCCTCCTGGGCTCCAACCTCAGGCCTCCTGGCACTTGCCTCTCCTGGGCTACAGACCTCTGTTTGCCCCTCCCCATGCTTTGGGTTTCTCTACCCTTGTTCTCAGGCCCACGTATTCCAAGGTCTGCCTCGCCCCTCTCAGGCGCTAGGCCCCTGGCCCTGTTGACACACTCTCTACCCTCAGGGCCCCCAGCCCCCATGAGCTCACCTACTCCTGTTCCCATGCCTCTCTCTTCCAAGGCCTGGCCCATCCCTGAGCTCTGACCTTGTTCCCATGCTGAGTGCAGCTTACCGCCAGCTCAACGGTTATCTCAGGAGCCCTGCTGCCAGGAGCTCCTCTCCTTGTGGCACTCAGGGCTAGATTGCCAGATCAGCTCAGGCCCTGGGCTTATATAGCTCAAGCCCAGCCCCCTTTCAGTCAGGTGACACTCTAATTAGCCCCCCTCGCCACCTGCAGGCTGCTTCTCAGGCAGCCTGTCCAAGCGCCCTGCCACAGTGTAATGCAGACAGCACATACAGAAGTACTATGCACCATTTTAATTTGGCTTCCACTCTGATTGCATTTTAACTTGTCACAGCTCCATCTATTTTCAAAAAGCCTTTAATCTCTTTCATTTAAAGAGGAATTTGCAATAAGAGGAGCTCAAAACAAACAACATTTTTTAACCATCCAGAACAAAACAAAAATTCCCACAGTTGAGTTTAGCAGCATCTTTCTTGATTTATATACTAATATAATATTGAGTCTATGCAGAAGACCAGCCAGCTTGCACAAAAATACACATCCTTCTTTTCCACTTTTATTTAATCAGGGGACAAAAATGCTGAAGTTTTGCACAACAAAGCTTCAAAGGTCCCTCAACATTTCATAGGAATAACAACTTCATCATGGTTGTGGGAGTGGATGTTTCATTTTAGTAAAGCACAAGAACAGGTTACTTAGAGAGTTGGTGGAGTCTCCATCCTTAGGGCTTATTAGGACCCAGCTAGACAAAGCCTTGGCTGGGAAAATCTAGTTGGAGATGGTCCTGCTTGAACCTGATGACCTCCTGAGGTTCCTTCCAGCCCTAATTTTCTATGATTTTATGATTTTAGAGATGGAAGAAGCAAGCAGGGTACAGCCAACTATCTGTATTTATTTAAAGTTTATCTTCCTCTGACAGTATATGTATACTTGGACATTGATCTCAATGTGAAATGCTCACAATTTCCATTCTTCCTACCTCAGATGTGTGCTGTAGAATCAGAGCTTCAAAGCTTCCCAAGCTATCTGTCCTTTTATACTTCATCTGTGATTCCACTTGTGCAAACTTGGAGTGATTTACAATGGGGATTAGCTTCATAAGCTAGTTTTAAGGATATCAGAGCCTTCCAATACTAAACCCTACTAACCGTCTCATTTTCCCCCTAAAACAACCTTTATCTGTATACATCTACAACATGATATTTGAAGTCTACTAAGCCAAAGAGACAGAGATGGTCAGCTACACAGAACCACATTTTCTCCTGCACCTCTTGAAGCCACCTCATTTAAATGCAATTATGTATTTCGGCCACTATCTTTAGGGTTGTAAATTTGAAACATGGCTGTGATTCTTGACTGGAACCCAAATACAGGGGGGCAAAATCCACTTTCCTACAGCTCAGTTGTCATGAAGTCAATGGACTGATTGTAATTTTACCCTGGCAAACAGCAGAATCCAGCCCTGCATCAGAACAACCCAGTCTCTAAAATCATTTTTGCCCCTAACCTCAGCTTTCTGCCTCAGTGCTTTCCATTTCAACAGCATTTCATCCTCAAAACTCTCTTATTAGTTTGGTGCTGCAAATCATATTATCCCCACTTTACAGATGGAGAAATTAAACACAGGACAATTAGTTTCTTTTGAGAGATTGGGTTGTGAGTGACAGAGCTAGAAACTGAATTGAGGAGTTCCTGGCTCCCAGCCTTATGTTTGGTCTAACATT